GACCTCACAACTACATGTTAAATAAATATTTTCCTTTAAAATGCACAGTCTCAGAGCTGCAGAGATGGCGCAGCGGTTAAGAGAACTTGCAGCCTTTTCAGAGGACCAGAGTGACCCTCTTCCAACAGCTCACAACCACCTGTAATGACAGCTCCTTCCAGGGGATCCAATACCCTCTTTTGGCCTCTGTGAGTACCCATACATATATGGTCAGGGTCTGTTTCTCCACCCCACCATACACATGCACTCACACATAAATAAAACAAACAAATGTCTTTTGAATTTAAGTTGAAAAATAAAATACACAGCCTCTAGTATTTTGTTAAAACACAAATAGTCCAAAAACAATGCCTTGACCACAGCTGTACCCAATCAGTCATTGGCCAGGAAAAGGCCCCAGCCTGATTGTCTGAAATACATCCAGATCTCCTCCCCCTCACACAGACTCCAGCTAGGGTCTGCCTCACTTGAAAGACAAAGGGATACAGGGAGTGCAGGTTACAAAACTAAGTTTCCACCAAGATGAAGTGTCAGATGGATTTAAAGGTTACCCAGTGTTCACGGTGGGTATTCGGAGTCAAAGATTTTGCCTTCCACTCATTTCTGCCTACCAATATTAGCTCTGACCTCTTGCTCTGAAGATAGCAGCCATGATTCCTGGCTGGGCAATAAGCCGCACACATGGAGAGACTACTGTGCTCCCCTCTCCCACCCTCAACTCCCCTCCCCTTACACAGACGGTATCTGTGCTTTACCATACGATCCCTCAGGGACAAACCCCTCATAAATGTCCAGGATGCTATTTATACTTAGTGACAAGTCCATCACACTGACCACCGCTGGGTTCTGAACACCACATTTCTATCAACACAGTCTACCACAATGGTGCTTCCCTGATAGTGTCCTATTGGCCTGCAACCAACTTGCTGCGAACTGCAGACTTTCTGTATTTCCAACAAGTAATGGATAGGTCTGGCCTCCTATAGCTCTACCTTGACACCTTAGACAAAGGGAAGGGGAGGGGGAAAGAGAAAGGGAGGTTCCAAGTATTCTGGCTCCTGCCTCTAATTCAAGCACTCAGACGGCTGAAACAGAAGAACTGCTGTCACTGTCACAGCCAGCCTGTACTACACAGCAAGCACCAGGGCCACATAGCTAGCTAGATCTTGTCTCAAAAAAAGGGGGAATGGGAGAACAGAAGGGAAGGAGGAAAGAGGAAGGGAATAAAATTCTACCTCATTATATCATTTTCCATTTTCTTGGTTGTCAAAATAAAATTCGAACTGAGGAAAAACTCACACGTTTATGATCAGCCTTGTACAACAGGGCTATCTCTCCTGAGAAAAGCACTTTCTGTCCCAGAAGAAGACTGCAGGAACTTGTTGAAATTCTAAGAACCTGACACCCTTGTGGGCTCAGTAAAATGGTCCCTTTGAGGTATCTATCTCCCAACTCTGTGTTAATGGACTCTATTGAGAACGCTGGATTGGCAGTGGTTAGGACATCAGAGGGGACCAGGAAACATCAGAGTCCTGTGACCAGTGACTACCACTTTCCCCAGCAGACAAATCTTGTTGGAGACTGGTATACAATCACAGGAAGCCAGATAATTGATTCGTTTGCTCAATGCATCCATTCCATGCAAGCAAGCCACAGAGGGAGTCCAAGATCATCAAGCACTTGTTTATTGCACACAGAACCCCAAGCAAGCAGTTCCCTAAAATACATTTAACAACACAACCTCATGCACCAGTCTCTAAAAAGGGTACTCTAGTTGGTACTGGGATAAAAAGGTTTTAAAATACTTCAACCAACTGCCTTCCAGATAGTTCACTGCTTGAGAGAAGCTAAGCATGAGAACCTGAGTCCAGCTTTCCAGTGCCCACATAATAACCGGATGCTGTGGCACTCAACAGTAATCCCAACAAGGGAGAGGCAGGCCCCTTAGGGCTTATCAGTGAGCTCCAGTGTAGAGTGATGGGGGAAGACACTTAACCATCTACAGACTTCACACGTGCACACAGAGTTCAGACTGTAACACCAATTAGCATGGTTCAATTTAAGTAAGGAACTGGAGGTAAAAAGATCTGAACATGTGCTTTTCCTTGTGAAACTAGTTAAAAATCAAAAAGCACTCTGAATTTGCATTTCCCCCACTGACCAGGACTCTGTTCCACCTCTCTTTGCTGGCTTCTCTTAGTGATCTACCTGTTTCCAGACTCAGCACCCAGGGTTGCTTTGCCACTCACTCTGTGGGTGCTCATTCAGGCTCAGGACTTGACTACCATGCTCACAACTCTGGATTTTACATTTCTAGTCCCACTCAGATTCCTAATCTCTGGCAGCTATCTGTGTAGATTCAAACTCCCAGCCTTCCTACACACCTGCCTTCAGGTTCTCTTAGCTCATTAAATGGCAGCCCCAGTCCCATCAAAACCCTTCGCATCCTGTAATTACAACTGTCTTTCCTGCCAATGTATTCATCTATCAGCTAGCCATAGTCACACCTGTCAACGCAGCCAATCAGCTTGCCAAGATCACACCACTTCCCACCTACCCCCATGATTACCACAGCAGCCAAGCTACTGTCGCCTCTCAGGATTTATATGCCGCTAACTAGTTTCCTTCTATTCTTGTTCCCCTAGTTAGGCACAGCAGCTGGAGTTGCTGAAAATTAGGATTCACAGTTTGCTCTATTCTCTCTTGTAAAATGAGTTAAAATTTGCCAACAGTGAAATCAAACATTATCTTTGGTTTCAACTCAGTGAGTGTATACCTCATGTAAACAGGATCCCTTTTAAGACATAACACTTCCACTGCCAGTGTCTTATGAATAAAGCTGTTGTAATATAAACATCATTTTCAGAGAAATGGGCTCTTACTGGGTAACATCCAAGACAGAACTGCTGTATCACAGGGCAGACACATGTGGCTGCCTCCAGCAGCAGCATTGTTCAGGACAGCTAAAAAGTCCAAGGTGCCTAAATGTGCATGAATGGAAAACTGGTCAACAAATGTGGTGTATCTACCTATGCAGGGAACTGTTGTTTAGATCATACTCACGGGCAGATAAACACTAAAAATACTATGCTCCATGACAGAAATCAAATATGAGAAATCATATTTACACAAAATATTTAGAGTGGGTAAATACACACAGACAGAGGGCAAACTGGTATTTGTCGAGAGCTGAAAGGAAGAGAAAGAGGATCAAACCATCAGTGGGTGCAAGGTAACAAAAGGTGTTCAGACTAGTCAGAACACCACAGAGACACGGAATGCCCCAAAGCAGTTCCTTCAAAGATACTTTTCATTCACTCGTTTCTTTGTTCTGTGTAGAGGTGGGCAGGCACATGCCATGGAGTGTTGTCGGGGTCAGAGGACAACTTGCGGTAGTAGCTTCTCTCCTTCTGCCATGTGGGTCTCAGGGATTTAATGTTAGGCCATCAGGACTGGGAGCAAGCCCCTCTACCCACTAAGCCATCTCAATGGTCCAACCAGAACAGGCCCATTTAAAGCGGATTATTTTAGGAATACACACAATAACCAGTGCGCACACGCGCGCATGCGTGCGCGCGCACACTCACACACACACACACACACACAGACAGGTACACCTGCACATGGATGGATAGATACATACATACATACATACATACATACATACATACATACATACATACAAATAACAAAGTGGACCGTTTGTGTTATGCACGTTTCACTTCCAAAGATGTTTGACATCCATGGGACACCACTTGGTGTCAAGGCTAAAGGTTCAGCACAGTCTCTGTTTCACTGATCATGCATCCATTTTAAAACTTCCTGTCAAACACAGCCTAAGTGGCTCCCCTATATATCACCAGACAGAAAAGAGCAGAGATGCTTTCTTCTACCACAGAAAGATGACTGGAAGCCCCAGTTTGGGTTAATAACTAGTTCTAAACTGAATGAGAGCACCCAGGAGCTATGAGCAATCAAAGTAACCACACTGTGAAGACACTTTTTATAGATGGCTGGTTTCTGAGCACACGTTTTACTGAGCCCAGGACCTCATGTACGCTAGGCTACGCTGAGCTACATCCTCAGTCCCCTTTTAAAATTTTTGAGGCAGGGTGCCACTAAGTTTTCCAGGCAAGCCTTGGGCTTGAGCCTCTTGCCTCAGCTTTTCACACAGCTGGTACTGACTACAGGTCCACACATCAGGTTCAGTCAAGAAGAAATGTTGTAAACGATTACACACACTTGGTTACATAGGCAGATTAAATAGGTGGATGTCTCTGAATTTTAATTCATGCTAATCCTATGATTAGAGGATTCTACATTTGTATCCATTTGCTAAGTTAGTGTGGGATGGACAAGAAAACAGGCCAGAGGATGACTTTCATTCCAGTCAACTGCCTAAGGCCTTTCCATTTTCTACCAGTGCACAAGAATGAGGAAAATTCGATGTTTACTTAAACACACACACACACAAACCTTCACATAAGTGACATTTAAGAGGAGCAGCAATGTTTGAGGCACAAAGCTAGAGTCCTGGTCCAAATACTCAATTCTAGACTGAAGGGGAAATCCTTAGCATGGCTCTTACATAAACAGTCTGAATTACTAAAATTAACTTTCCAAAGCCAGAAGAAAGTTAGCTCGTTATGTAACCAAAATGCACCTTCTAGAAAGTCAAGCAGGTGCTTTGGAGTCGCAAACAGCCTTTACATTTAAGGGACAGTAAGACACATAGTTGACCTGGTTGTTTGGGGTGTTTGTCACCTGAAATGTCAGTTTAAATTTTCAGGACTTCCAAAATGATAGAAAGTTTTAGCAAAATTCAGGTTCTTGTCACATTCAGCCACATTTGAGTTTTTGGTTTTCATGTCTCCAAAAGCACAAGCATTTTATGAGATATCAACACAGAGAGCAATAGGGACTTTTAAAGGGAACCCTTGTCCTCCTCATCCCCTCCTCCCAGTACCCCCCCCCCAAACTACAGGATCAGGGCAAGAGACCTGCGCGTGTCCCAGAGTTGGTGCAGGTGTGCTGACAATGCAGCCCACAGCTGAGCGAGAGCTGTGGCGCCCTTGGGCTACCTCAGGACAAGGTGGAAGAACTGTTCATTGTGGCAGATGCCTGGCCTTCTTTCTCTGACTTTAAAAACAAACAACAAACCCTCCTGCTGACTGATCTGTAACGGGTTTTGTAGAGAGTTGCGAAGTGCTGCACCCTTAAGATGGTGCTGGCTTCCGCCTTATGCTAGCCCGACAGTAAGTGCTCTCTGTGATAAACAACACCAGTATTTGGTTAAGGCTGGACCACCTGTATTTGGTTAAGGCTGGATATCAGGCTTGCTTCCGCGTACGTGGACCTATCTGCACGTTCCATGTAGCATACTGGGGTTGGCCGCCCAAGGGCTTTTAAGCTGTGGGTTGGCGCTCCCCGGGAGAAGAAGATTGTTCAAGGTTCCTGAATAAACTGCTTAAAGAAGAGTCTGGGCGGTGTGTCTTCCTTGCTGGTCGAGGCGGGCACGACAGGGTTTCTTATTTCCACCCAATGATATCTGTCAAAGACTACTGTAGACTCAGTCTAGCCTAACTCTATTCTGGGCATGCTTTTTTGGTGTGTTACTAAGAGGTAAATACTATCTGTACCAACTGTGAGCCTCCCATGACCAGCCATAAGACGCCCAACCAAATGACAAGAGCCACTGAAGACGGCAGGGGCCTTTACAAAGCACACACATGACACATTCACTAAACAAGCTACTGTAACGTCAGAAGCTCAGTCCTTTACAGATATTCCACCTGACTGCAGCAATGCAAACACACTCTGGGGGTGCCAAGTATATTCCCAAACAGATCCCATACTCACACTACCGGAATTCTGAGCAAAGGAGCAACACTTGGTGCCGTGGCACCACACACAGTATAAAATGTCATCTCACACGAAGCCTGGTTACATAATTCAGTACCCCCTTTTAGAGACTATCCCAAGGGAGCACCTTGTCTCTCTGTGGTAATCCCTGCTCATTGCTATAATCTCGAAGAAAACATCTCAGAATCAACACTGCATTGAATACCGCATTTACACAGCCTGGGTGATCCCAGCAAGTGTTTGACATCTTTGGCAGCTTGGCAGCTCCTGCCTTCCTCTTTGTTGTACAGATAATTCAACTGCACCTTTTCAATCTGGATTATGTCTCTTTATATTTCTGTATGGGGGGGAATGAATGACTATGAATATGTTTACTAGAAAAGTGAGAGTTACAAGGAAGAAGGATTACTGAAGTAGAGGGTATAGTAGAAATACTTCCCTGTTGTTTTGAATTTATGATGTTGACTGGAAAATTTCCTTAGAAATACTAAATGTTGCCAGGTGGTGGTGGCGCACGCCTTTAATCCCAGCACTCGGGAGGCAGAGGCAGGCAGATCTCTATGAGTTCGAGGCCAGGCTGGTCCGACAGCCTCCAAAACAATACAGAGAAACCCTATCTCTGTAAAACCAAAAAAATAAATAAATAAAAATACTAAATGTTATTATTTCAATATAGCTTATTTTGAATGAAGTAACAGCATAAAATCCAGGTAAACTAGGGCACAGTGAAGTCTCCTTTCTACACATGTCCAAGGGCCATCAATGTCTCCTCCCCTGCAAGAGCAGAATGGTATGCACATTATTTTTACATATGGTATTCACTGCTCCCTTATGAGCACGACAACATTCCAAAAGCACCAATGATGGCTAAAATTGCAAAGTATCAAACCCTATCATTTACCACGTTTTCTCTGTATGCATACAGACCTATGATAAAGTTTAATTAATGAGTTAGGTGCAATAATAACAATAAAATAGGATAATCATACTATAATTAAGGTTTCATGTGTCCTCCCAAAACTTGTGTGTTAAAGAGACTTGGTTCCCAACACAGTGCTGAGGTAGGGCTCTTGTTGAGCAACTGGACTTGGTCAACAAACGAATCTGAAGCTGGATTCACAATGTGTGGCCATGGCTAGGAGGTGCAGAAACTGAGAGGGAGAGCCTAGAGAGAGGAAGCAGGCAGCCAATGGCATGCCTTTTGCTTTGTTCTGCACTTCTTCTTTTATTTAGATTAGAAACCATCTTGTCTCAAATGTCAATCCCTTTCCCTCCCCGGCCCTCCCCACCAGGTCCTCCAGTCCCCACCCAATCTCCATTCTGATCCCCAAGGAAGGTGAGGCCCTCCATGATGGATCTCCAGTAACTGTCATTTCATCCAGGGCAGGGCCTAGTCCCTCCCCTAAGAGTCCCAGATGAGAGAGCCTCCCATATTGTGGCATGGGCACTCAAAGTCTATTTGTACGCCAGGGGTAAATACCACCCAAGGCCCCATAGATTACCTAGGCCTCCTCACTGACACCCACATTCAGGGGGTCTATGAATGAACAAGCTCTGCCCTGTCACACACTACCTGCCATGGTGTTGTCTCATTAGGACCTGAAAACAGTGCCAAGTGACCATGGACTGAAACTATGAAGTTGTAAAATATTCTTTCCTATGTCATCTTTCTCAAGTATTTTGTCACAGCAAGAAAAGGGGGGGAAGAAACACAAAACTAGCACAACAGCATGCAATGTGAAACACTTCGGCAGGAGAGCTATCTGAGAGCAGTTGATCTTCAGAAGACCTGGTTCAATTCCCAGTGCCCACATGCTCACAACTCTCTGTAAGTCCAGTCTCAGAGGATGCGACATCCACTTCCAGCCTCCACAGGCACTGCATACATGTGGTAACAGACACATAGGCAAATACTCCTGAAGATATAAAATTTTAAACAATCTGTTTTTCTTAAATGTGATTGGCTAACAGTACAAAGGCATGAGGATCAAAGACTTTGATTTAAATGCAATTATTAAAAGCTTAATTACAGGGAAGCATCAGAACTACAGCACTGTCACTGCCACATTGGGAACGAGCTAGACTCACACTCTGGCAGACCTGGAGACTTGGTAACAACTTCACACACAGGGCATGGCTTTGAGAGGAGCAAGTTTTAGATGCTCTGGGATAATACATCATTACTGTCTGCACTCAATCTAACTTGGGATACTTGGGCCAAAAATATGAGCACCATCTTTCATTTCCAGGCACAAATTACAAAGACCTACTGAATACGCAAGGCCTTTCAGAACAGATCCTGAAATACATACCCTCCAGAAACTGAAAGAGGAAGATTGTATGATAGGGGCTGGGGAGATGGCTCAGCAGGCAGAACTTGTTTGTAAAGTATGAGAACCTGAGTTCAGATTTCCAGCATCCACTTAAAAGCAAGGCCAGGTGGTGTCTATAACCTCAGCACTGGGTGTGAAGGAGGGGAGGAAGGGACAGGTGGGTTCCAGGGGCTCACTAGCAGGCCACTCTAGCCAAAATGGTGAGCTCCAGATTCAAAAAGACCCTGTCTCAAAAAACCAATGAAGAAAATACCCACAGCCAACCACTGGCCTCCATAGGCCCCCTCATGGGCCAGTCTATCCATGTATACATAAACAAGTACAAATACACAAAAAAAATTTTTTTGAAAAGAAAATTCTAATATAGTATGAACTAACAAAGAACTTGGCATTCAATAAATGAAGAACCCATGCTGGGAAAATGATCTGGCAGGGTTAAAGCTATTCTTTGGAAAGAAAGAAGCCGTTGAAGCTCTATGCCCCAAACTGTCCCTTGTTCCTAATAGGCTGATTTCATCTAAGAAATGCAAGGAAATGTTGGATCTTATAATCACTCTATACTCCAAATATAAGTGTGCTTATGCATATATTCAATCAAGCCTCTCCCTGACTTAAACCCAGCAAGATTTTCCCTAACTCATGGAGTAAATATTAAGTCCATGACTTTGCCTGTGAAGCCATTTATAAAGTGGTCTCTGTCTTTTAATCTGTTTTCTATCCAAAAGGTCATCTTCAAACCCCTTCTATTTCCTTAGAAGCACCCATGATGCTCACAGCCCTGTGCACTGACATATAACGTTGTTCTACATACATCTTGTGTCACCACAAGGAGCCTTGCGGCTCCTGGTCCATTTGGAGAACTCTTCATATTCAAAACAACCACCCACTCCTTCCCCCACTGCCCCTGATGTTCTCCTCGGGGTCCCCAACCTCTTTCTTTTTTAGAGAGACTATGTATGCTATTTTTCATCTATCTGGACTGTCTCCTAGCCCAACACCTTAAATGTAAGCATATACTGAATGGGTCGCCTTAGACATTGCTCAGTAACTCAGCATCCACTATTGCAAATAAAATAACCATAAGCCCTATGACATCAGCATTTATTCCATAGTCACAGCAGTCATTCACTAACTGTGTGGTACAGGATGCTAGCTGGCATTTTCATTTGTATGGTCCTTTGGCTGCAGGTAAGAATGTAAGTTCATTTTATTTTCTGTCTTTTGCCTCTCTGTTGACGTTGACTGGGGATGGGGTTGATGAAGATCAAGGTCAGCACTTGCATGCTAGGTAAGCACTCTACTGCTAAGCTACATCCCTATCCCCTCATACAACCTTTATGAAAGCTATCTAAATTCGCCCTGCATATCTCATTCCCCCCACCTCCAATACAATTATTTACCTAGGAAGTGATCCTGAATACACGATGCTATTAACACAAAGTGTCTACTGTGGTTTTATTTATAACAGCAAAAATTAGAAGGGGCTTAAATGACCAATGATAAACAAGCAAATTAAACTACAGGACAAACAATAAAATAATATATACACCATAAAATTTTGTTATAGAATGTGATTTAATGATATAAAAAGGTATTTATTTCTACTATGTTATTAAAAGAAACTATAAACTTGGTATTAAGAATACATGTTAACATATAACATAAAAGTACTTTTTTAAAAGAAATTATTTTAAAGTAGATTAAAAACAGAAAACAAGGGAAATTTTATTAAGTCCCAATACAGGGCCATACATAAAATGACAGAAACTTTTATTAAATCTACAGCTGCTTCTAGTCAAAACACTCTCAAATCAAGGGGCTCTTTCAAGTGGATGAAAATAGGGAGATTATGATTTGTAATTAAGTTTCTAGTTCTCAGGATTCACAAAATGTCTAAGTAAGTATTCTATATTCTCTAGGCAAAATACACAGAACAAATAACATACGTTGCGGAAACAGAAGCACATTTTATGATGAAGGATCTGAACCAGTTCATTAACTGATGATAAAAACTGACCTCAAGATGAGATTCCAATAATGTACTATTCAGCTGCTTGTCACATTCCAGGT